GGGGCGCGGGTGGTGATACTTTCCATGAGGGTGGGTCTTCCCCAGCCTGCAGGAGACGGTGGCTGCTCCAGGATGGGGCAGATCCCAGGCATGGCTTCAACCTCAGGGCTGGTGGGTTTGAGCTCCCCCCTGTTAAACGCTGGGGATGCAGTGGGGAGCGGGGCTGGAGCCAACCCTGCCCTTTGCACCCCTTTGGGGCTGCCCCTCGGTGCTGAAAAGCCATAACTGTTTTGGGCACCGACCCCGGCTGCTGCCTGCTGGGGGAAAGGGCCGAGGGAAGCGGGATTTTGGTGTGTCCACGGCCAGGCTGGGCTCCCTGCCAGCCCCTGCCTGTCCGGAGCCCTGTCCCACCTCGATGCCGCCATGAGCTGCAGCCCATACTGTGAACATGACCCCCTTTTTTGCAGGGGCACTCTTTTTATCCGCAGCTCTTTAGGCAGAGGGTTTCCCCCGCTTTGAGCTTCCCAGGGCCTCTGCTGTGGCTCCGAGGTGTTCAGAGCTAAGCTTCGAAGGTATTTTTCAGTCCTGCTCTTGCATCTGATGCTCCCCTGAGGCTGTGGAAGGAGGCTTGTGCTTCCCCATGTGGGCTTCTCACTGGATGGAGAGGCAGGACTCGGCATGGGGGGGCTTCTTTTCCCCTTATTTCAGTGAAATTCCCTTTTTGAAAGCGGAGAAGCAGCACGTACCGTCTTTGTAGTGCCATGCTGGGAGGCAGGCATGGAGAAAAACACTCTGGGGGGTTTGTGTGGCTGCTCTTGAAGCCCACAGATGCCTCGGGAAGCCATCGGTGCTCCCGCCTTTCATTTCTGCCTCGAGTCCGTGCTGTTACCCCTTTCCCTTTTTCGAAGTGTAGAGACCCAGGTGGCCCTCCCCACCTCAAACGGTGCTGGACAGACAGAGAAGCACAGGACAGGGGCAGTCACTGAGGCTGCACGTCCCTGCCTGCCCCCAGCCCTGGGCTGCTGCTCCCCAGCATCTCCTCCTCCCTCCCACCGGCCTCGGTGTGAAGGCAGGTCCTTCCTGGGGTCCGGGTGACTCTGCTGGGCTGGTTTGGACCCGGGCTGGTGCCGGGCTGTCTCTCCCCTGGTACGTTATTGCTTTGGTGCTGGTGGGTCTCAGCGCTGTTAAATGGGGGTAGGTGTGAATCCCCTAGCCGGGATGTCCTGGAATGAGTATTCAAGGGCTGGGAGCTTGGCTCCCTCTGTCCACAGCCACTCTCCAGGTGACCCCAGGAGCTCCGTGGCACCTGCATCCCTCCCTGCCTCCCTTCCTCTACCACGGGCCAGTTTTCAGCCCTGCTCTGTCCCTCTGGTGCTGCTCCAGCCAAAGACAGACACTTCACCTCATTTGTCTCTTTTTGATACTTTTTTAAAAAGCTGTGGGTTTTTTTCCCCCTTAATAAATTTCTACCTGTATTTAATGAGCCGCACAAGGCCTCTTTTCCCTTCTTGGGCACGGGGACACGGCGCTCTTAGGGTGCTCTGGTTGTTTTGGTGATGGCATGGCAGGGAGAGAGGCAGAGATGGGAGTGCCTGGGACCAGTGCCCTGATGCGCAGGGCTGCACTGTCCCCTGGTACCCCTCAAACCCCTCCCTAGGAGGAGGACAGGGTTTTGGAGGGTCTCGAGCAGAAGGGGAAGCCAAATGCTTGGAGCAAAAAGACCCACGGAGCCTCCTGACCCTGCCCAAGGGCACAGCCACCCCTGCCTGTATCCCACCCTTCATCGAATGACCCGGGGCTGGATTTGCCCCATCTCCCCCAAAGCTGAGATGCCCCAGGGGGTATTGGATAGCTCCCGTCGTGCCAGCTGGTGCCCTCCCTCCGGCTGTCATGGCGAGGTGGTGGTTGGAGCCGTGCAGGAACGCACACAGGCCGCGTAGAAAACCACTGCCACGTCTTTATTTGCTGCTTCACAACAGCCCGAGGCGTTTGCAGAAGGCTTGTCCTGGGCCAGTCGTGGGTCTGGGGCGGAGGGGGGGGGGGGCCTGGTTGGGACTGGCCCCCCGGGGAGGCTCTGCAATGTGCGGCTGGGGGTGGCTGTGGGCTGGGGGTATGCTCCAAGGGGTCTGGAAAAATGTCTGCAGGCAGGGGGGGGGCAGCTGCCAGTGTGCAGGCGGGGGGGGGGCAGCTGCCAGGACCCCTGCCTGGTCTGGGGGCTGCTCAGGGAGGGCTTGGCGGTGGTGTGCTTCACTTGTGGTGTTGGTGTCTGCAGTGGGAGGGGGTGCAGGGTTGGGGGGCACATGTACGTATGGGCTCTGCTGGATGTCTCAGCAAAACGTGGCTGAGTGCCCTTAAATCAGCGGAGCGCCCCAGCTGCTCCTAGACAATGCCTTTCCATCCCCGTGGGGCACATGGCCCTGCAGCCTGCCCAGGCTTGCCGGCTCAGCCCTGGCTAAAGCAGAGCCCGGGGGGCCAGTGCTTCCAGCGGGGCCAGGCCAGAGATTTCTGTCCCCAGCCCTGTGGGGCTGGGATGGGACCGGGCTGATCTCCTGGCTTGAAGGCAGACGTGGCAGAGGCAGTAGCTATAGCCAGGGCCAGCCAGGGAAGATGTATAGCCGTGGCGGGGATGGAGAGGGGTCACAGCCTCTTATTTCCCCCCACCACGACCCCCCCAGCAGGGCTGGACGGGAGGAGGCTCAGCAGCCACTGTTCCTGCGCATGAAGGCATGTCCCCGGACGGGATGCTGCATCTCGATGAAGGCCAGCTCCCCCACTGTCACCTCGCAGGGACCCACCGCCTTGAAACCGCACTTCTGGTAGAAGGGCACGAGGAAATCTTCGCACATGAGCAGGGCGCGCCGGGCGAAAGGCAGGCACCGCAGGTACTGCAGGTACCGCCACATGAGGATGGAGCCCTTGCCCTGCTGCCGGAAGGTGCGGTGCACGGCCAGCACGTGGATGTGCACTGCTGTGCCCCGCGGCTGGTGCAGGGTCAGCGCTGCCTGCCAAGGGGGGAGCGGGGGGTTAGTGTGATCAGGGGGTCCCATCCTGCATGTGTCTTGGTTCCCGACCCCAATGAACCAGGGTTCACGTCTTCCCCCAAAGGGAGAAGGGTCCCGGTGCCATCCCCCTTCACCTCCCCCCATCATCCCTGCAGGTTTTTAATTTTAAAATGAATGTTGTGGGGAATTACTGAGCATATTTTTTAACAGCATCAGTAAAATATTAATTAATGAGAAAGTTCATTTCCACCAGAGCAGCCCTGTAGCAAATAGTCTTAGGAGAAGATTGGTGAGTAGCCTCAGGGCCCCAGGGAGCTTCTCCTCGTCCCCAGGCACTGGCAGTGCCTCTCTGAGCACGCAAGCCAGGAAGAACATGGTCCGGCTCTTACCTGGCTGAGCCTGTCCTGGTCCCAGAGGGAGCCGATGATGAATGCCACGAGCCGCCCTTCTTCAAACCAGCCGAGGGAGAGCTCCGGGCACAGGTTCAGAAAGTGACGGATCTCATCCAGGTGGAGGGGACAGTCCCCAGAGACGGATATAAAGGCTGGAGGGGGACGGCGGCGAGCACAGTGAGGGGGACCCAGACAACCTCCCCGGCGCTGATGTAGGGGTGGGAAGTGGGATGTGGTGGGGAGAGATGGCATGCGTCCTGCTGCCTACTTGGCCTAAAGGAGCTCTAAGGGACAGGATGGCTCCCGGGGGCAGCTCTGCTCCTCCAGAGGCAGCCCCCCGCAGCCCAGGGACTGGCTCCCCGCTCCCGTTGCTGATTCCAGGGCTACAGCAGCGGGCGCTGAGATGACCCCTTCCTCCTGGCATCTCCCCGGCTGCCCTCACCCTTTGGAGAGGAGGGAGAAATGGGCCGGGTGAATCTGAGTGAGGGGAGCTCAGGGTGCCTGGGATGGAGGGGAGGGGGAAGGCTGCTGGGGGGTGCATCTCAAAGTGCCCCTGTGCAATAGGAGACTGAGCATGGTGTCCTTCCTCCCACCTTCCCCTCTCCTGTCCGCTCGCCTCTGGCAGGGCTGTTTCGGGACAGCTGCTCCCCACTCGCCTGGTCCTGCTCTGGGATTGCCTCCCACCATCCCCACCCCGGGCAGCTGGGTGAGCTGGGGGCTGTGGTTCTCCACCTCCTTAATCACAGCCTCCCCCACCTCGTTAGGGAGCCCGTGGTGACCTGGCCACAAGTCACGGCGGCTGGCTCCCTCCCTCATCACCCACGAGGGCATGCGTGGGGGTTTTGCCACCACGGTGTGCCCCCAAGGAGCGTGAGGGACTGGTGGAGGGAAGGGACGGGGCATCTCCAGCCGACGCCACCAGGCAGCACCTCCCCGGGGCAGCCCCTTACCTTCCCGCTCGATCTCGAACACGCTGACGGCGTCCTCGGGGCTGAGGCAGCGAAACTCGCTGGCGGGCAGCGTGTGGCGGCGCTGGCCCCCGGGCGAGCTTTGGGGGGACCTCAGTTGAACGGGCTTCAGGAAAGGCAATGTGTTAAGCGCCAACATCCTCCTCCTCCTCCTCGTCCTCCTGCCCTGCTTCCCACCGCTTCCTCTGCTCAGGGCAGCCTCTGCCGGCTCCCAGCCCCAGCACGGCACCCTTTATTTCAGCCAATATCCTCCAGCACTCTTAGCCGCTGAAAATACCTGTTGATCACACACAGGATTAGGCTGCTTGCCACCCTATTCCTATATATATGTGTGTGTATATATATACAGCAAATACCCGCCCACAGTGACCTCATTTGCCGGTCTGCCATCGCTGGGACCGGCAGCCTGGCACCAGCCACAGGCTGTAGCAAACCCACGGCGCCAGGGACCAGGAGAACAAAAGCCCAGTGATCTGCTAGGGGCTCCAGGTGGTGGGACAGAGCAGGGACAGGGGCTGTTAGAGCTGGAGCAGGGGGAGCAGGCATGGGGCTGAGCATCCTGCCCAACATCTCCCAACTCATGGCAAAGCCAGGCGGTGGGACAGGCAGGAGAGCCCTGGGGCAAGTCCAGCCACTGCCCTGGGGACAGGCAGGGTGGGATGTGGCTGCAGGAAGCCAAGGGGCTGCAAAATAAGCTTCTCTGGGTGAATGCTCCCTGCGACCCCCTCGCGTTTGTGGTGCTGCACGGCTGTATGCGAGCAAGAGGTCAGGGCCAGGCCACTATGCACGCCCCGTGGTGCCCCGGCATACCCATACCCGGCAGCCAGAGCTGCCTCCCAGAGACAGCCTGAGCTGCCGGGATTTACTCCCTTTCCCGGCTCACTCTCG